ACAAGTATTTTCCACCCAGGATCTACTGTATACTAACACAGGTGAATCAAACAAATAATTTGGTTTCATGCAATAATAAACTGTTCAACTGATGACTGCAACCGGAACCAGTGTTGCTGGCCCATGGCAGAAGTTTGTGGTCGCCATGTTTTCAATTCAGTGATTACACAATCATCGTACTATCAGTGAGGCCTTTTCTTCTTCCCTTATCTCCTGTCCCAACCAATATAATCATACTAGATAACTCAGACAAATGGATCAGCTGAGCTCATAATGAAATGTCATTTATTAGATAACCGCACATACCCATGTAATATTGTAATGCCGTCTGGCTCACAGAAAGGAAAACATCCACACAAAAGAGTCCCAACCATTCCTCAGACATAGCAGCTCGTTGTTGTTCCTCCATCACCAGTGATGAAGACCACTTTTCATCTAAATTAACAAGCGCGGCATGTATCGAATTTACCGGCCACTGTTTTATTTGGTTTAGTTTTAGTTTACAAGTTATTTTAGCCCTACCAGACCTCAGGCCCTGAACCTAACTGTGCCCTCCCTATACCTGAGCTCCTGGGCATTAAAGCGAGAAACCAACATGATATACAACAATATTAGTAACATGCAAACATGTGGTTAGAATAAGATGAAACTTGGAAACATTGTAGAATATGTCTACCTTTCATCTAACACCAATATTCTAACTGGCTCTCCTGTCAACTACGGGCCAGTAGACAACAGTAGACGGCCGGTTATTCGGAGTTCTGTCCCTTGGCTACAGTGCAATTACGGAGTGGAAAAGGAGGGAACAAAACAATTGACACAATTACTGTGTGTTGGCGATAGACAGCGTGCACTGCCCTGCTATAATCATACGGTTTGGGTTAGGGTTACAGTTTAGGTTAGAGTTAGGGTTTGGGTAAGGGTGTAGGTTAGGGTTACGGTTAGTGTCGCACAAACTCATAGTAGCAACCCAAACCCTAACCCTAAACCTAACCCAAAACCTACCCCTACCCCTAACCCAAACCCTAATCCAAACCCTAACCGTATGATGACAGTAGGGCACTGCCCGCTGTCTATCGCCAACACACAGTAATTATGTTTCATTCCCTCTATTCCACTCCGTAATGCGTCGCAAGAAGCGGTAATTGAACGTGGTCGCTAATTTGAGTCGCATCGCGGGGTCTGCAAGCCATGTCGACGTCACTTTGTGTTGTGATTCGTACCTTGTCCACTCCGTAATTGCACTGTAGCCAAGGGACAGAACTCCGACTAACCGGCCATCTACTGTTGTCTACCGGCCGTAGTTTACAGGAGAGCCTTCTAACTTTGTATGCCAATCCACCCAACAGGATGAGCCTTGTTTCACTAGAGGTACTTCTTGCAAAGTTAGCACCAGATGTTGCTCTTCACCTTCTTGCATGGATTGTCTTTGTAAGACACTTCAGGATTTTCTTGTATCTGGAGTGCTTTCCCATGCACACAACACAGGCATGATTAGATGATGTCCCAGGGGGAGTCTCTGGACAATGATTGTCTGGGGTCGTCCGTTGAGAGAGGGTTCAGCTTGTGGGCGGCGGTGGAAAGTGTCTTGTGTCCACCAATCAGTTGCACGCAAAAGTTTCTGAATATATCTTGTAAAATAAATAAGCTTTTTTGAAGCAGCTTGCTGCTTTGAAGCATAAAAGATATAGGAATTATAACTGGCCCACATACAGATTATTATGAAAAGCTGCCGGGGTCAGCGGTAATGTCGATGCGACTGGTGAAGGCAGGTCATCTGGTCATTTTTGTCACAGCCACCCATATATTTATTATAGTCCTTTACCAGCTGTGGTATTTGTATTTCTTGCACACTGCCATCTTTGTTTCTTCTGTTTATTACTACATTTTGGGCTGGATCATGGTAGTTCGAATTAAATGTGATGGGCTCTATCCTGCCAAACTAGACATGTTACACTTTCTTGACATAGATAGCGACTGTCACCCCTAGCAAGTTTTTTTAAACACTTTTCAGCAGCTTAGGAAACTGTTTTCTGTTTTGCTGCAGGGTTCCCATGATTCTTGTCTGTAATTCTGACAGTGCATATTTAGCAAGGGTTACAGAGTTGTAGTACCAGTCCATGAAAAGCACATGAGATTTATTTTCCATTGCACATGAGGTCAGGAGACAAGTGACTGTATATCCTACAGCACCCAATTTTTTTTTTTTTAGTAGGCATCGATGCGGCACCAATGTAGATTTCTGCATTCAAAATATAGCCAGTCTCACCTACAGAGAAAAGGAAAGTCTTGATGCCCCACTTTTTGGGCTGATCCTTGATATACTGCTTGATGGCTAAGCAGTTTTTTTATCAGGATCATCCCCTCATCTAGGCTGAAATGTTGCTTTGGCAGATAGAAGTGGAGAAACTTGGGGAGCAGACTTTCTAAGAAAGGCCTAACTTTATATATTCTATCTCTCTTATCGATATCTGTGTCCTCCTCATCAGTAAAAAAACTCCAAAGGGCAAAGAATCTGTCTCGAGTCAAAACATTTTGAAATCCGGGAGTGAACCCAACGGAAGTTAGAACCCTCATTTGTCTAATAATTCCAATAGTTGGGCTTTATACATAGGTATTCCGTTTAGATCCTCAGCCCAAGAAAAGCCTTAATTTCTTCCACTGTGGCATCCTTGAAATATCTTGCATTGTAGGAGTTGGGCTTTGCTATATGCAGTTGGTGCGCCCGCAGGTTGGTTTTCTCTATAAAATTTGGCCAAATAAGTGTCATCCAAAAACAAGGATAAAAAGTCAGTCGGTTCACTCTCCTTTGTGATAGATCAGGGAATGTTCACTGGGCCTTTTCCATCCTCATTAAAATTCAGATCTGTATTTAGAAATACAAAATTTCGTGTCCTACTTTCATCACCACCTGGATCTCCCCCATCAGCTGTTTGAGGCATACACTCCCCCCCCCCCCCCCCCCCCCCTCCTTCTTTTACTATCGATCAAGTTCTAGGTCTGTAAGGTTCAAGATTCTCTTCATCACTCGATCTATCGCTATCTGTTTCACTTGAACTGGAACATATTCTTGATGAAATTCTAATTCCTCAGTCTGAAACAACTAAAGTATTGATTACCTGTTGGACTGTGAAAAGCCTAGACTTACTTTGCTTTGAAGTGCTTGGTTCATCAGCTGCTCGTTTCATTGTGAATTTTCAGAATTTGTTCACATAAAACAACACCAAGTTAATCCAGACACACAAGGTCTGATCACAAATGGCTAGTTATTTTTAGATTGTGACGCATTTTTTTCACGTAGTACACAAATTACTGACATTGAGGGACACCGGTTACGCTACAGATTAGAAAATTACCATATTAGTGGGACATCAGTCTGGTAGAGTTAACATGAAAAACATACACACCACATGGGTCTTCCAATTGTTTGGTCTTTGCCCAGAACTGCTAGATGTCAGATCCAAGACCCAAGGATCAGGGTAGATAAGACATTTATTTTCTTATTTTATAAAAGTTCTAAACATTCACATGGAGAACTGAACTAAGTCTGCAGGAATTAGAAGCCCTTGCTGTATTTCTGAACCACGATATCCCCTTGTGGAGACACAAGTAGAGAAACAGCAAAAGAGAAGAAGAAATCAGCAAACTTATTGATGAACTAATGAACTACAATAACAAGATGAATAATAACATACACAACATGATTCAAAGAAATGCTGTAATATGGAAAGTTAATTTCACTTGAAACTCAATTTTTGACTTCTGTAGATAGGTATGTGTTCCACTGAGTGTTCTTTGTCCAGTGGAATGTTGCATCTTTATTTGGATTATTGTGCACATTTTCTTTTTTTATTATTATTTCTATGTGGAACTAAGGTGCTGTCACCTGCCGGTTAGCCCCTCTACTCATCATCATCATCTATTTCCACTTCTTGAGTTAAGCATTGTTGGGAAGAACAGTTTGCAATCCATTGCTTGATCAGCAGCAGTGGCTATTGTCATTCTGTGTCGATGTGGAAGCTCTTTGATGTCATCAGTCCATTTTCTCCTCTGGTGGCCTCTCACTTTCATTTCAGATCTTTTCATGTGTAGCACCTGCGTTAGCCCAACTACTGACACCCAAATGTCTCCCTTCCATCAAAACAGCAAATGATTAATAGCCTCTTTATCCCTGCTTTATGCTATCAGTGCCATGCATGGACAATGAATATGGCACTAGAACAGAAAATAACTACATGTGAAATGTGCTGTCAGGGTTACAAATACAAACATTAGAGAGAAAGTTGCAATAAAACCATGTCTGGATTAAATTGAGAAACAAAGAATGAAATAGTTCGGTCATCTAGTGATAATGCAGCCATACCAAACTGCATGTGATATTTTTTACAGTGGAACATCTGGAAGGATTTCAAGAGGAAGACCAAGAAAGAAATGGATAAATGAGGCAGCTGAAACCTGCAAAAAAAGATTAACAATTCCATCACTCAAGCTGCCTGAGAAACATAAGACAAATACAGAAAATCATGACACGGCAACAACCTGGTATCAGATGACAAAAGAAGAAAGAAAAACTACAGGTACATGTTAGTGAAATGGTCTTACCAGTCTTTATCTCTCTCTCCCTCCCCCTCCCAACCCCAACTCAGAGCAGATATAGATGTTCATAGATGCTGACTTCAGGTTGGACAAATATTTAACATTGATGCAGTCACCATGTAGCACTTGAGTCAGTTTTGTATTTTATCAATCAAATATAATCTCACTGTGTGTGTGTGCTTGCGTGCGTACGTGCACAATGCATATGTATGAGAAAGAGAGTGAGAGAGTAATTCATGTGTGAGAATTCAGTGAAAGAAACAATTTCTTTATCAAACTTTGTTAACCTTTCTGTCCTGAAAGTGTTAATCTCCTGGAAAATATTTCATATTGTTTTGTCCTCATTTCTGTCACTGTCTGTGTGTAGTAACCATAACAGTGGGTTGTTTTTCATCAGAGAAAAGATGACGCTGGGTGTCGATGAGGAGGAAGAGTATAACAGCTCTGCTCGAATGGCATTGGCTTTCCTGGACAGGTTTGAGCGCTATGATAGTCAGGAGCTGCTATTTCAGTTTATTACACACTGGTTCATTGGATCTGAAGTGGAACAACCGAGCGAAGGATCTACTCATATCAGCACCACCGACATGCCTCTCGCTGACAACCTGGCCGTGATTCTCTTCCCCATGAAGTGCGATATCGCTCCGTTTTGTTACAGGTTTGTCTGCATATTATCATCTTCCTGTTACATGCTCCTTTGGTGTTTTCTTTAAAAGTTGTAGGCAACCGTCAGTCCCTGGGAACCATGGAATTATGCCGCCGGTTTTGGGAACGCGACTGCTGTTACTGTAAATTCCTGTGCAGGAGTGGCCGTCCCTGCCACATAGTTCACACAGAAACGTTGATACTCTTATTGTTCTGATGTTGGTTTTCTCTCAGATGTCTTCTCTCCGAAGCTTGAAACATTTGGCCTCCGCCAAACTGTGACTATCCGTCTTTCACTGTCTGCCTTCAAAGAAGTCCCTCAGTAGCTGTCTCTCCCAAGTCTGTGTCAATGTTCCTATCTTTTAGGTGGCGTTTGCATATGTCCTTATAGCGTAACTTTAGCCTTCCTCCAGGTCTTAGAGTATTTTGAGGTATTTAATTGGTGTTACATGTTACTGGCGGAGCTGTCGTTGTGTAGGGACCAAACTCTTGCCAGCAGATCCAAAGCTCATAGGTTTAAATCTGAAGTAAACCTGACCATTTTTCTTTCAAAATCAACCTTGGTTCCCAGGTTGACCCAGCTCTGAGTAGGAGGTACCATGTAAAGTCCTGGGAAGTAAATGTAGCCTGCACTATGCTGACCACATCACTGACTGATGATTGGCCTGTCAAATAAAGGTCAGCACTATATACCCAATATGCCCCAAGGTGTGGAAAACGGTCCTTTACTTTTTACATGTTACTGAGGTGTGTTTTTGTTTATAGTATGCTATCATTTATTATGTTACCAGAGTTTATTTTTACATGTTACTGAGGTGAGTTTTTGTGCTATCATTTATTGTTATATGTTACTATTTCTTTTTACATGTTACTTTTGTTTATAGTATGTATGCTATAATTTATTGTTTTATGCTACCAGTGTTTTTTCCTGCCAGTGTGCAATGGTACACAGTATCAAAACTTTTTTTTTTAGGCACCATTTTTTCAGCATTACTGTAGACACTTGTGGTGAGTAATAGCACCTTTTTTTTTAAAGACACTTTTGGATGAGTCAATTAGAACAGAAACCTGTGAGGGTTGTGTTCTCAGCGCTCTGCTTTATGACAGTGATACTTATTCACACCATGAGAGAAGGCTAAATAACTTTTACATGAGATGCCTAACAAATTCTGGGCATTAGGTAGCAGGACAAGATCACAAACACTGAGGTATTGGGAAGCGCAGGTACTACAACAGTCTTCTCAATGCTCAGTCTATGAAGGCTCAGGGGGCTGGGTAATACCTGGAGAATGGAGGATGGCAGAGTCCCTAAGGACATCCTTTTTTTGAGTGAATTAAAGACAGAAAGAAGATGTCAAGGCCGACCTCTACTACAGTATAAAGATGTGTGCATGTGGGACATGAATGATACAGGTATTGAGGTATACTCATGGGAACAATATGCCATAGACCGTGTTGTGTGGAGAGGGCACATCAGGAAGGGAATGAGACTGAAGGAAGAAATGTTGACATAAAAGATGAGAGCTGAGTGTCTGAGAACAAACAGATTAAACACAAATGTTGACAACAATGGTCCTGAAATCCCATGCTATCATTGTGGAAGACTTTTTTTGACCGGGCAGGTCTTGCTAGTCACACTGGCTATTGCCATGGGCTATGAGTCCCATGCCTCCTCAAAGCCCAATATAACACTGTTGTCTGGAAATCAATCAATCAAGATAATTTATTATTAATATTACTGCAATATATTTTGTATTGTGAGGAAATTGATTGTTATGTGTTATAATTTTAGGTTAAATATTTCAGGTATGTTTTTTATATTGCATTTTAATCATGAGAAACCTGACATGGAAGTTCAAAACATGATCATGAGAAATCTGACATGGAAGTGCACAACAAAATCATGAGATATCTTATGTTTCTGACAGGGAAGTGCACAGTATTATCAGAGAGCTGACAGTGGGGATGTTTGTTCTCAAACAAACACCTTTCATCACTCTGGATGCCAACTATGATAAGTCCACCACATGCAGCATGCCACCTGCTTACATGGACACACTGATTGGCCAGCTGCTGACCAATGTGGACTACATGATGAAGGGCCTATGGCACGGGGCTTACATTCCAAAAGAGAAGCGCTTGAAATTCACCGAGCGATGGAGGATGCACTTGGATGTCAACATGCAGGGCAAGCCCGAAACAAGGAAACCTTTAGTTTCAGAATTTGTGTCATCCGGTGAGTGATCAAAATAACCGTGGTTTTTTCTCAGTCTTCTCTCTGTAGCTTGCTGCATTTGGCCTCCGTCAAACTTCTGTCTGTCTTTCACAGTCTACCTCCAAAGGAGTCCCTCAGCAGCTATCTCTCCCTGTCTTTCACTGTCTACCTCCAAAGGAGTCCCTCAGCAGCTATCTCTCCCTGTCTTTCACTGTCTACCTCCAAAGGAGTCCCTCAGCAGCTGTCTCTCCCTGTCTATTACTGTCTACCTCCTAAGTAGTCCCTCAGCAGCTGTCTCTCCCTGTCTTTCACGGTCTGCCTCCAAAGAAGTCCCTCAGCAGCTGTCTCTCCCTGTCTTTCACTGTCTACCTCCAAAGGAGTCCCTCAGCAGCTGTCTCTCCCTGTCTTTCATGGTCTGCCTCCAAAGGAGTCCCTCAGCAGCTGTCTCTCCCTGTCTTTTACTGTCTGCTTCCAAAGGAGTCCCTCAGCAGCTGTCTTTCCCTGTCTTTCACTGTCTACCTCCAAAGGAGTCCCTCAGCAGCTGTCTCTCCCTGTCTTTCATGGTCTGCCTCCAAAGGAGTCTCTCAGCAGCTGTCTCTCCCTGTCTTTTACTGACTGCCTCAAAAGGAGTCCCCCAGCAGCTGTCTCTCCTTGTCTTTCACTGTCTGCTTCCAAAGGAGTCCCTCAGCAGCTGTCTCTTCCTGTCTTTCACTGTCTGCCTCCAAAGGAGTCCCTCAGCAGCTGTCTTTCACTGTCTGCCTCCAAAGGAGTCCCTCAGCAGCTGTCTTTTACTGTCTGCCTCCAAAGGAGTCCCTCAGCAGCTGTCTCTCCCTGTCTTTCACTATCTGCCTCCAAAGGAGTCCCTCAGCAGCTGTCTTTCACTGTCTGCCTCCAAAGGAGTCCCTCAGCAGCTGTCTCTCCCTGTCTTTCACTATCTTCCTCCAGAGGAGTCCCTCAGCAGCTGTCTTTCACTGTCTGCCTCCAACGGAGTCCCTCAGCAGCTGTCTTTTCCTGTCTTTCACTGTCTGCCTCCAAAGGAGTCCCTCAGCAGCTGTCTCTCCCTGTCTTTCACTATCTGCCTCCAAAGGAGTCCCTCAGCAGCTGTCTTTCACTGTCTGCCTCCAAAGGAGTCCCTCAGCAGCTGTCTCTCCCTGTCTTTTACTGTCTGCCTCGAAAGGAGTCCCTCAGCAGCTGTCTCTTCCTGTCTTTCACTGTCTGCCCCCAAAGGAGTCCCTCAGCAGCTGTCTCTTCCTGTCTTTCACTATCTGCCTCCAAAGGAGTCCCTCAGCAGCTGTCTTTCACTGTCTGCCCCCAAAGGAGTCCCTCAGCAGCTGTCTCTTCCTGTCTTTCACTATCTGCCTCCAAAGGAGTCCCTCAGCAGCTGTCTTTCACTGTCTGCCTCCAAAGAAGTCCCTCAGCAGCTGTCTCGCCCCAGTCTCTGGGTCTCTGTGCCATTTTAAAATACTAGTTTTCGTGTGGGTTTTTGAAATCTAATATGGGGCCTCCCTAACAAACATTTTGTAAGAGTCAACTAAATAGTGGCTTACTTCCAAGTTGGAGGGCATCAAGGAACCAACAGTCTGCATACAGATAAGCCAGATCTGTAAAATGGAAGTGCATGCAATATTTAGGTTCTGAAACAAGACTGAAGTCCAGAATATTCCTGATGAGATATAACAGCTGAGAGAAAGAAAAATACAAATTGAACTGGTTGAGCCAAGAACTGATATCACAGCATTCACGACAGTCCCATGAGGCCTGAGTCCCCATCTTCAGCAGCTAGTGCAGAGTTCCAGTTCCAGTGATACGGAATACTAATAAAAAGAGAAATATTGTTACAGTTACCTCTTCTTGTTATAAATTTTTCCTCCTATTGTATCTTTCTCTAATTTTCTCGTTCTGGTAACGTACCCAGTGTGGATTATCTTGTTATGATGGGGTAGCTAGTTCTGTTTGTAAATACATTTCTTGCAATTACTAATAATCTTCATTGTCTAAACTAATGTCTTGCAGAAGAGAAGAAATAGAATGGTATTACAGAATCACAGTACCACAGCTTAGGGAAACATGACACAAATTCCAGTGACTCAAGAGTTGATGAAATGATGCTAGCAGTGGATAGGAGACTCCACATGTGGGTCTAGGCCCCTATCTTGTTAGAAATAAGAATTGACCCTCTGCCACTTAGCAAGCATGTCATAGAAGGCAACTAATTAGGAGTGTGCTGAAATGGGATGTGCTTGGCCGAAAGGTGCAGATATCGCAGCCAGGCTGTAAACCATAGACCAACATGCTAGCTGTCCTTTCAAGGGCGAACACGGAAGAAGAAGGATATACATTAGGAGAACCTGAAAATAATAGAAATAGAATGAGGGCTCTACTTCGAACGGCACCATAAAATGGCGGCCATAAAATGATGCCGTTCGAAAGAGAGCTAAATTGGCCACATTCTGGCTATAAAATATCCCAAAATATCCAAATGGGGCTCAGTTCTATTAAAAATATATATGCCGGCTCCGTATAACGAAACACATGCTCTAACACGGTCTCAGCGATATGTTACTTGCGGACCTGCTTCTGCGAGTGTGCCTCACCGCCGACCGTATCCCCCGCGCCGCTACTCGCGCTGCGGATGGGGACTAAACTAGATGGCTGGGACTCACGAGCAGCAGCTACCGCATTTCCTGCAACTTCCTCCAATTACTTTACTTGTAAGTCCCAGGCACCTAGTTTAGCCCCCACATCGGATATTTTTGGATATTTTATGGCCAGAATGTAGCATCATATTATGGCCACCATTTTATGGTGCCGTTTGAAGTAGAGCCAGAATGGTTTCAACTGCAATCATCAGGGCTAAAGAAATAAGGGTAGAACAAAAGATACAAAGAGGAAATAATGTCCGACAAAGATAAATGACATAGGAAAATCTGTAGACAGCTGGCAGAGATCAGGCTTTGGTGAAAGTTGACTTAGGACCTCTGGTAATCTGGTAGTCTTTGTTTCAGCTTCAAAGCAAACAGGTCACCCCATAGTTGCTCCGCTCCTGTGCCAGCGAAAAACACACACAATGTTTATCACAATAGGACCTCTGCATCATTGAGGCATCAAGGGACAAAGAAGACCAATGTTGCTATTTTTAAGTCATAAAAAAGTGGGGGGGGGGGGGGGGGTCACAAGAAGAATGTTGCCATGGTTACCTGTTCTTGATGTTTTGTGTAGTTATTTATAAGCTGCTTGAACAAGCATCAATTTTTATAAAGTGCAGAAGTGTGTTTATTATTATACCAGGTTTTTTTTTTGGGGGGGGGGGGGGGTTATGTGGTGTGCAACTCGCAACATATTAGATCTTGATATTATAGGGTAGGTTAACCAGGTCTTGCTGGCCCTAAGGTCTTGGGTTTGAATCTTCATCAAAAAGAATTTTTTTTTAAAGGCAGCCTGCTCGGTGTTGAGCACATCCCCCTCTCAGTGGTACTGGTCTGTCAAGCTGAGTGGTGCTGGTCTGTCAAGCTGAGTGGTGCTGGTCTGTCAAGCTGAGTGGTGCTGGTCTGTCCAGCTGAGTGGTGCTGGTCTGTCAAGCTAAGTGGTGCTGGTCTGTCAAGCTGATTGGTGCTGGTCTGTCAAGCTAAGTGGTGCTGGTCTGTCAAGCTGAGTGGTGCTGGTCTGTCAAGCTAAGTGGTGCTGGTCTGTCAAGCTGATTGGTGCTGGTCTGTCAAGCTGAGTGGTGCTGGTCTGTCAAGCTGAGTGGTGCTGGTCTGTCAAGCTGAGTCTGTCATATGCCACTGATGTCCAGTGGATCCTTCACTTTATCTAACCAAGTCTGCCTTTCTGGCAACATCTCTGGTACTGACTGTAGATAGCAAAGTAAAACATTCGGTTTTATATAGGAATAGGTTTAGGTCTGATATATGGGGTAATATGATGACTGGAAAGATCAACAAAGTCAGAGGTAAAGGCAGGCAAAGAGAGAGATGATGACTGGAAAGATCAACAAAGTCAGAGGTAAAGGCAGGCAAAGAGAGAGATGATGACTGGAAAGATCAACAAAGTTAGAGGTAAAGGCAGGCAAAGAGAGAGATGATGACTGGAAAGATCAACAAAGTTAGAGGTAAAGGCAGGCAAAGAGAGAGATGATGACTGGAAAGATCAACAAAGTTAGAGGTAAAGGCAGGGAAAGAGAGAGATGATGACTGGAAAGATCAACAAAGTCAGAGGTAAGGGCAGGCAAAAGGAGAGATGATGCTTGACAGCCTGAAGCCATGGCATAGTGGGATATCATCAGTGCAATTGGTTCGAAATATCAAGGACCCACTTCTGTGGAGAGGAATGAGCCGCCTGGCAGGACACATGATGTTAATGATATACTGTCAGTTATATAGGTATGGATGGTGATTTTTTTTTTTTTTTTTAGTATCCAGAAGCCATGAGTTGTTAACCCTTAGGTTCGGCATTATGGATATCGCAATCCTTCGGCCTTGATTCCATGATAAATTCCGTAAATCTGGGAGAAATGTGGCTTTTCTGCCTACCCCCGGGCGTGAACCCAGACCACAAGGAGTTCGTCACCCGGTCACCGCACAGTCTGGTTTAGCCAACTACGCTAGAGAGCCGGGCATGGATGGTGATATGCGAGCCTTGGTAGAATGTTGTTGTTCCTCCATAACGAGTGACGAAGACCACTTTTTATCCAAAGTAATAATGACCAATGATTATGAGTACGAAGGTGGCTGATTAGTCCAATATAAGCCCGTAAAGTTCTTGTGCAGGGGGACAACAGGTGGAACCCGCAGTAAGTGTGGTGGGGTTAGCAAAATGTTTCTTTCTAGTCTACCTCCATTTCTCTGCCTTGGTAGATGCTCACGGGCTGGTCTGGCGGTTTTGGGTTTGAGTCCATAGCAGGTTGGATTTTTTCATTTTTAACTTTAAACTTTTTGGATAACAAGGATGCAGCATCTGTTTGGTGATAACTTATGTAACTGTCCTCCGGTAGCATTAGAGTGAACTAATGATAAGTGACTTTGTCTTCTCCAGGTTTAATAGATATAACCAAAGACCCAGATTATGCCCGGGTGTATGACGATCTGCCAGTGGATATCCCGAATGATGAAGAGATGGCACAGGAGCGGGAGTTCTTTATGAGTCACATAGATAACCTGAGTATGCAGATGACACTGTTCCAGGAACATATGGAGAACTATAAGAACCTCTATCTTGTCAAGTAAGTCCTACAGCTATACACAAGTCATGCTCAGCATTCTTATTGTTTGCCAGAGAATTGTCCTGGGCTTCATGTTGACCTTGTCTAAATGGGTAGGAGAAAAATTTTCTGCAAAAGTAAAATCAACTAGAGTGATATAGACAATTTCATTCACTGACGGCTGATTGGTCTATAACTATTTTTCTAGCACAGTGTATATCATGGAGTTTAAAGTGGTCCTTGTTTTAGAATGTGTCATGAGATGACTAAACTAAACATGAGAAAATGTCTGCAGACTGAATTTAGGGATGTTCTTCTTGGTTTGAATGTTTTGTTAAAGTTAGCCAATATATGTATAGTAAATTAGTATAGAAACTTTATCAAGAGATTATACTTTCAACATAGCTCATGTCATTATCTGTGCAGAAATATTTGCAGCTGTTTGCAAGTAAAGTCAGGAAAGAACTGATCTCTAACTTGGTGTTTCTGCTACTTTCTGTGGCTAGTTCCAGATACAACATCTCCAGCATAATCAGGCTGATAGACACACAGATAGATAGTGTTGGGTATGAGAGACTGAAGACACGGATGCAGATGCACCAGGATGTCATAGAGGTATGCTACCCTTCCTCTTCTCTTCCTGTTACCTTGATAAAGATAGCATCACTTACGGTTCACCTGCGTGCTAGTGTCCATCAATGAAACAAGGAATATTTATTTTATAACCTACCATGCATATCCTAAGAAAGTAAGGACGGTTGGTAAGATACTGGTCACCTCATAGACAACTCTAGCTGTAGAATTCAACCATGTGAACTAGGGTATAATCTTCCTTTCTACTGGGTAATTCCTGGCTGTTGTCTAAAGGTATATTCACAGGTGAGACGAGACATATCACGCCTCCAAATGACAGTCGACGAGTTAAAAATACAATTTGATCTTTATTATCATTAACACATAAGCTACGAGAATCAGTAATCAGATATATGACACTATTCCAGGATCATATGGAGAACTACAAGAACCTCTGTCTTGTCAAGTAATCAGTCATCAGTCTCATATCAGTGTTACAGCCTTCCACTTACATGATCCATGCAGGGTCCACGTGCTCATGCTCTGAACATACAGCCATGACGTTGATGTTGACATACACACTATTGACACAGCTACCAGTCAGCAGGACACCTTTGTTATGCTTCTCTCATTGTATTTCAACATGACATCAATGTAGATGAACCACAACATTCACGCCTCCTTTCTCTGGGTCCAAATTCCTTCGCTTTGGGTCTAAATTTATTCCCTCTTGCTCTGGGGTCTCGTCGCAGAATGACTCGCTAGTCAGCTGTTTCCCCAGTTGCCCTGTGTTCTTAAGTCCACTCACCCAATCTCGTATTTTGCCATTCTCACGTCGACTTCACATTTTTCATCTTAGGGATTTCCTTAGTTCTACCGACCAGTCAAACCCCTCACATTAATTCTATATTTAGCATCACTACAACTAGCAGATTTACAATGGAATGAATTCTTTAAACACATGATATTACCCAAAAGCTTAATGGGAAAAGGGGAAGGGGGGATGCTCACAGAAACAACTGATTGTGACAGTTGGAGTCTATCAGTCAAACAAGATGAAGAAGAATCCTAGACCAGTTTGAATGCACTCAACCCCTAGGGGCGTGTTGTGAGCTTTTTGAGGGTCCATGCTCTACTAAGGGTTTCTGCTGTCGCCCTTAAAAGGACAATTGACACATTATGTTGTGGTTTACAGCTAGGATGTGATTTCTGTGCCTTTCACCCACAAGTTTTCAACAAACCTTTAGTTAGTCACTTGTTACAACATCCTTGTTAAGGAACAGTGGGTAGGCCATCCCTCCCCCCCCCCCCCCCCCTCCTACCAGAATCACACTGCCCACATGTGAGGTTAAACACTGACCATTGACTTCATATTCTGTACTCTAAAACCACATCTGAGGGGCAAGAGTCCGGCCCACTGAATCCCACCTGCAGCATTAGGGACTAGACGATGTCTGTAGGCATCTGGAGACATGAGCACCTCTAGGATGGAACCGTTTTCAAAAGAAACGTCCCGGATGTAAAAGTCTCTCAGTTATTGGTGCTGAAAGGTTACCTCGGAGGGGCAGAAACTTTGTAAACTTCCCTAATGTAAAAGTCTCTCAGGTAGTGGTGCTGAAAGGTTACCTCGGAGAGGCAGAAAATTTGTAAACTTTCCTGATGTAAAAGTCTCTCAGTTAGTGGTGCTGAAAAGTTACATCGGAGAGGCAGAAACTTTGTCAACGTCCCTGATGTAAAAGTCTCTGTTAGTGGTGTTGAAAGGTTACCTCGGAGAGGCAGAAACTTTGTAAACAGCCCAGACAGAAAAGTCTGGGACAAACCAATTCAAAGTAAATTAAATATGAGAGTTTGATGAACTTTGCCATAAAGCAGACAGCAAGGTACAGTGTAGTTCAGTCATTTCCTTCAAAGTCGGAGCACATTTGCCTGAGCAACAAGAAACCAACAGTCTGCATACAAGCCAGATCTATAAAAATAATTGGCTATTGTAAGTTTATGATTTGCCAGCTTTCCCTTGTAAGTTCATGATTTGCCAGTTATCTCTTGTAAGTTTATGATCTGCCAGTTATCTCTTGTAAGTTCATGATCTGCCAGTTATCTCTTGTAAGTTCATGATTTGCCAGCTTTCTCTTGTAAGTTCATGATTTGCTAGTTATCTCTTGTAAGTTTATGATTTGCCAGTTATCTCTTGTAAGTTCATGATCTGCCAGTTATCTCTTGTAAGTTCATGATCTGCCAGTTATCTCTTGTAAGTTCATGATTTGCCAGTTATCTCTTGTAAGTTTATGATCTGCCAGTTATCTCTTGTAAGTTCATGATTTGCCAGTTATCTCTTGTAAGTTCATGATCTGCCAGTTATCTCTTGTAAGTTCATGATCTGCCATTTATCTCTTGTAAGTTCATGATTTGCCAGTTATCTCTTGTAAGTTCATGATTTGCCAGCTTTCTCTTGTAAGTTCATGATTTGCCAGTTATCTCTTGTAAGTTCATGATTTGCCAGTTATCTCTTGTAAGTTCATGATATGCCAGTTATTTCTTGTAAGTTCACGATTTGCGAGCTTTCTCTTGTATGTTCATGATTTGCGAGCTTTCTCTTGTAAGTTCATGATTTGCCAGCTTTCTCTTGTAAGTTCATGATTGATGGCACCTTTCTGACTTTCCAGAGAATAGTGTATGACTTGAGATACAGTAAAATACCAGATACCCATCATCTGTTGCGGGCTTTCTCCTGTAGGTTTATGCTTGATAGCACTTTTCTGACTTTCTACACAATAGTGAATGATACGCACACACACAAGCAGCTTATAGAATCACTATTCATGCCAGATATGTACAGTCCTTTAAAAAAGATAAACAAAATTGACACATGTGAGATGAGATGCATAAGAAATGAAAGAAGAACAAAAAGAGACCAGGTCACCAATGAAGTCATAAGAATGATGGTGTTTTATAGAAAATCAAAGAATCAAATGGTTTAGTCATCTGATTAGAATGCAACAAAATCAGACAGCAGTTGAGGCAGACTGCGTGAAACCAGCGGTCTACCAGCCAAGAAGTCAACAAAGACTACGTGAAAACAGCAGGCTACAGGCTACAAGCCCAGAAGTCAACAAAGACTACGTGAAAACAGCAGGCTACAGGATACAAGCCAAGAAGTCAACAAAGACTACGTGAAACCAGCAGGCTACAAGCCCAGAAGTCAACAAAGACTACGTGAAACCAGCAGGCTACAAGCCAAGAAGTCAACAAAGACTACGTGAAACCAGCAGGCTACAAGCCAAGAAGTCAACAAAGACTTCGTGAAACCAGCAGGATACAAGCCCAGAAGTCAACAAAGACTACGTGAAACCAGCAGGCTACAAGCCAAGAAGTCAACAAAGACTACGTGAAACCAGCAGGCTACAAGCCAAGAAGTCAACAAAGACTACGTGAAAACAGCAGGCTACAGGATACAAGCCAAGAAGTCAACAAAGACTACGTGAAACCAGCAGGCTACAAGCCAAGAAGTCAACAAAGACTACGTGAAACCAGCAGGCTACAAGCCAAGAAGTCAACAAAGACTACGTGAAAACAGCAGGCTACAGGATACAAGCCAAGAAGTCAACAAAGACCACGTGAAACCAGCAGGCTACAAGCCAAGAAGTCAACAAAGACCACGTGAAACCAGCAGGCTACAAGCCCAGAAACCAACAAAGAGAGAGATGAGTGAAGGGAGTAAAAAAAAAAAAAAAAAAACACTACAGAAATGCAATATGACATAAACACAAGCTACACAACTAGCAAATGACAGCAAATTGCCTCTACTCCTCTTTGCTGAGTGGTCTCAGAGCATGGCATCCGCCTCGGGTGTCGGAGCTCCTGGATTCAGGCGCCAATGAGGGCTGAGTTTTTTTCACATCGACTTCTAGTAATTTTCCCCTGGTCTCTGGGTAAAAGTCGGCTCTATGGCTAAGTCGATGTGAACGCTTCGTAATGCTTGGATGCCGGGTTTGATCCCAGCTGCAGGACATGTGCCTTGCGTTGGTTTCCACAGTGGTATCAAGAAAGCCGACCGTCCAGAAAGCAATTGCAAAATACTGGACGTAAATTTGGCTAGAAAAACCACTCAATAGCCAGGGGCTGTTGGGGTTGGTTCTTCTTCGCCTGTGCTGCGGAGTTTGCGCACTGCACTGAGATTCTTCAGACTCAGGCTTGAGTTAGAAGTAAAACGAAGCACTTATGGGTTACTACCCTTGTGCCATGATGTTGATCTGTTGTTTATTTAAACCAAACCAAGAACTCCTTTTTGCAATTGTTTACATCATAAGCAGTAGGCAAAAGAAGAAGGAGTCTATGACTTTATTTGAGATGCAGTAGAACACATGCCAGATTTCTCTAGTGAAGTTTAGGACTAGACTATCTTTGATATTATTGTATGGCTGTGTCTGTGTCATGTACTGACATTCTCTGCTCTGTTTATGATAGTGTATTATATAGTTGTTGTTTGCCCTTACCATTCGGTTAGAATTGTCATTGCTGTGTAACAGTTCTACAGACATCTGCGGCTACAGAATCATCTCGATGCAGAATACTGTTGGCAAACTTTTGGAAAAAATTGTCGCACAAAGATTGACCACCTACTTGGAACTACATGATAAGTTCCCACCAACACTTGGAGGGTACAGGTTAAATAAAGAGACATGGTTCAATGCTGCAGTTTTCGCCTACGATGTGTACGAGGGATTTCAGATTAAAGAAGAGACATGTGCGGCAGTGTTGGACTTAGAAGATGCCTACAATAAAGTACCATACGATTATTTATTGCAATTACTGCTTAAACTAGAAGTTAATCCTATTCTGATCCGCTGGATTGCTGCGGTCCTGTTCCAGAGAAAGATTGTACTAAGATGTGGTAGCTGGTCCTCCGAACCGCAAATGATATGTCCAGGCTTGCCACAGGGATCACCGCTATCACCAGTCTTATTCAACGTTTACACGGTGATGATCACTGAGCAGCAGTTGAATGGAAAGGGAAGGACTTTGTCATTTGCAGATGACATTTTGATTTATCGACGAGGGCGTGATAGACAGGAGATCGCCAGCACTATGCACAAAGAACTCGATCGAATTGCCGCCTGGTGTGATGGTTCCAATGCCTATGTCAATCCTTCGAAGGCATCAGTGTCATGGTTCTCTTTGAACAATCACATTGTCAAGTCGGACTTACCAGAAGTGAAAATGCGTGATAATGCATTGATCAGAACCAACGTTTTGACGTTTCTCGGGGTGAGGTTCGATCGCAGCTTGTCATTCAGGGAACACGTTGACCATGTGATAACAAAAGCACGCAAAGGTCTATCTGCAATGAGGATTATGGCTGCTTCCAATATTGAGCAAAGACTACTAATACTTCTATTCTACGGTCTGGTCCTTTCCCCCATTGAATACGCTCTGGCCATCCTCACTGTCAGTGCTACCCAGATTGAACGACTCGAAAAGGTGCAAAATGAAGCCATGCGCATTATTTTGGGATGTACTAGAGACACATCCTGTGGAGCAATGAGGTATCTACTTGACTTTCCAACAATGAACCAAAGGATCAGGATGTGGAGGGCTCGGGCATATCTCAAAATATGCGCTGATAAGAAACACCCACTGCATCAAGCGCTTTTTAGTGAAAAGGGCGACAGACTGAAGAGGGGGAAATCGTGGCTAGGTCGGGCAGAAGATGTCATTAGGCAAATATGCAGCCTAACCGACATCATACCTGGTGCAGAATGGATACCTGTGCCTCAGGCGTTTATTTGTACATTTTCCTGTATTGTCACACTCAACAGGCGATGTAGAGAAGAGGATCCTGTTGCTGTTAATGCAGAGGTCAACGCTCTCATCGGTGAAAATTCAGACGAAGCAGATGCAATAATCTATACAGACGGATCCGTTATACGCCAAAGAAGAAGCGCATGGGCATTTACAGCATGCTCAGCGGGCAGAACAGTCTAAGAAGCCAACGGCGCCTTCTCCATGACAACCAGCAGCATGACGATGGAGGTGATGGCATTGACACAAGCGCTTGCCTGGCTTGAAACACAAAAATACACCCGCGTGTGTATACTCAGTGATTCAATGAGTATGATCCGGAGGGTTCAGGCAGGTTCAGTGCGAAGACAATGGCTTGAATCATTACAGAAGTCCACTGTTCGTGGAGTCACCTTTATTTTTGTTCCGGGACACGCAGGCGTCGATGGAAATGAAAGAGCTGACAGGTTGGCTGGATCCGCTATCACTACCGACGGTCAGCCTATGGATCATGCTGATATTATCAATGCCCTCAGAGAAATGGGAAGAATAGAGGACTTTGGTGGCAGTGAATCCACATCACTCGCCAGAATGGCAGACTTGGGAATTAGGATCGGCACAGCAAAAAACAAGACGCACACCAGCTACGCCAGAAGACTTGTTAATCAACATAGAACTGGTACTATTAGCCATCGGACGTTGGGGTTCATACTGAGGGGAGGATCTGAGCACATATGGACATGTCCGGAGTGCAATGAGGATAACCCAACTAACTAACTAACTAACTAACTAAAGTTCTACAGAATTGTCTTAGCTTTCTGTGAGATACTGTCTGTGTTAGAGCTCTCTCTATCTTTTCTCTCTTTCTCTCTCTCTTTCTCTCTCCTCCTCTCTTTCTCTCTCTCTCTCTCTCTCTCTCTCTCTCTCTCTCTCTCTCTCTCTCTCTCTCTCTCTCTCTCTCTCTCTCTCTCTGTGAGACACTGTTTGCACTAAAGCTGTCCTTGTGAGACACTGAGTTAGAGCTCTCTCGCTATCGTTTCTCTCTCTCTTTCTCTCTTCCCCCTCACTCGCTCTCTTTGTGAGACACTGCACTATAGCTGTCCTTGTGAGACACTGAGTTAGAGCTCTCTCAGTGAGACGTTGCTATATTAGAGCTCTCTCACTAAGATAATACATGTGTTATCTCTGTGGAACATGGTCTGTGAGACTTTGTGTGTGATAGAGGTCTTTGTGAGACTTTGTGTGTGATAGAGGTCTCTGTGAGACTTTGTGTGTGATAGAGGTCTCTGTGAGACATTGTGTGTAATAGAGGTCTCTGTGAGACTTTGTGTGTGATAGAGGTCTCTGTGAGACTTTGTGTGTGATAGAGGTCTCTGTGAGACTTTGTGTGTAATAGAGGTCTCTGTGAGACTTTGTGTGTAATAGAGGTCTCTATGAGACTTTGTGTGTAATAGAGGTCTCTGTGAGACTTTGTGTGTAATAGAGGTCTCTGTGAGACTTTGTGTGTGATAGAGGTCTCTGTGAGACTTTGTGTGTGATAGAGGTCTCTGTGAGACATTGTGTGTAATAGAGGCCTCTATGAGACACTATATGTGATAGAGGTTGTGAGACACTATATGTGATAGAGGTTGTGAGACATTGTGTGAAATAGAGGTGCCTGTGACACATTGTCTGTGAAGGAGGTCTCTATGAGACATTTTGTGTGAAAGAGGTCTCTGTCAGACACTATATGTGATAGAGGTCTCTGTGAGACACTATATGTGATAGAGATCTCTGTGAGACATTGTGTGTAATAGAGCTGTCATTTCTGAACTTGCCTAATATTGTTTATTGTTTGTCTGTTTTAAAATATTGATGATCTTTGTCCAGTAATTGCATTTACCCCCCCCCCCCCCTCCCATATGTTCACACCATACCCCATTTCACTACCATTTTAAATTTCACGCATGTATTTAACATATGATTACAGTATAATGTTTGCCAATTTCTTGTTTTCCACAGTTGAAGAGTGTCGAACAGAAAGAGAATTCCCTCCTATTATAATGGGCCCTGACTTCAAGTGCAAAAATTTTGTGTACACCGGCCAGTACTTTCATCTACATGGAGGTCAGTTGATGGGGCTGAGCATTTTCTACATTTAAATTGTATTCTCTGGGCAACTGCAGAAGATGTCACATGTCACTATAGTTGTTGCAGGACAGGTTTCTGAGTGTGGAAGAACAAGTCTGTGATGACATGACATCAGGTATTGATGGTCTTTGATGACAGGACATCAGGTGTGGCAGGACATGTCTCTGATGACAGGACATCAGCTGTGGCAGGACATGTCTCTGATGACATAACAGCTGCGGCAGCACAGGTCTCTAATGACATGACATCATGCAGGGCAGGTCTCTGATGACATGACATCAGCTGCGGCAGCACAGGTCTCTAATGACATGACATCATGTAGGGCAGGGCAGGTCTCTGATGACATGACATCAGGTAAAGCAGTACAGGTATCTGATGACATGACATCAGGTGAGGGACATCAGGTGTGGCAGCACAGGTCTCTAATGACATAACATCAAGTATGGCAGGACAGGTCTCTGATGACATGACATCAGGTGTTACACATCAGGTGTGTGTCATCATGTGTGGGTGCACAGGTCTGATGACATGACATCAAGTGTGGCAGGAGAGGTCTCTAATGACATGACATCAGGTGTTACACATCAGGTGTGTGTCATCATGTGTGGGTGCACAGGTCTCTGATGACATGACATCAGGTGTGGCAGCACAGGTCTCTAATGACATAACATCAAGTATGGCAGCACAGGTCTCTGATGACATGACATCAGGTGTTACACATCAGGTGTGTGTCATCAAGTGTGGGTGCACAGGTCTCTGATGACATTTCATCAGGTGTGGCAGGACAGTTCTCTGATGACAGGACATCAGGTGTGACAGGACAGTTCTCTGATGACATCACATCAGGTTTGGCAGGACAGGTCTCTAATGACATGACATAATATGTGACAGCACAGGTCTCTGATGACATGACATCATGTGTGGCAGCACATGTCTCTGATGACATGACATCACATGTGGCAGGACAGGTCTCTGATGACATGACGTCATGTGTGGCAGCACAGGTCTCTGATGATATGACATCATGTGTGGCAGGACATGTCTCTGATGACATCACATGTGGCAGGACAGGTCTCTGATGACATGACATCATGTGTGGCAGGACATGTCTCTGAAGACATCACATGTGGAAGGACATGTCTCTGGTGACATGACATCACATGTGGCAGGACAGGTCTCTGATGACATGACATCATGTGTGGCAGCACAGGTCTCTGATGACATGACATCATGTGTGGCAGGACATGTCTCTGATGACATCACATGTGGCAGGACAGGTCTCTGATGACATGAAATCATGTGTGGCAGGACAGGTCTCTGATGACATGACATCATGTGTGGCAGGACATGTCTCTGATGACATCACATGTGGCAGGACAGGTCTCTGATGACATGACATCAAATGTGTCAGGACAGATCTCTGATGTCATGACATCAGGCATGACAGGACAGGTCGTGGATGACATGACATGACAGGTGTGGAAGGTTTCTGATGACATGACATCAAGCATGACAGGACAGGTCGTGGATGACATGACATCAGCAGGTGAAGAAAACAAATGGGTTGGGGATGACCGTGGTGAGATGGTCAAGCCATTTGTCTCATGCAATGAAGGTTTTGGATTTGCTCCATGGAGGTGTTGGCCAGTCCTTGTGTTCACTTGTTACAGAGATCCCTGGGAATCCCCGCTGGAGCTATGTAGTTTGTGATTTGTGTGACCTGTGGCTAGCTGTTCTGTGGAGAGAGAGTTCGCTGTCTAGGATAACTTGATGCAGTTCAGTTGAACCTCTTGAGCTTCACTTTTGGGTATGATTGTCATTTAGGATCACTGTAACTTTCAACAGATGGATTGAAGCACTCTGTTCACTTTTGGAAGTTATTGTAATTTAAGATCACTGTAACTTTTAATAGATAGATTCATCCATTCTGTTCACTTTTGGATATGTTTGTCATTTAAGATCACTTTCATTTGAAAGAAAAATGTATCGGCTCACACATGCTTATGGGCATATTTTCTCATTTTGAAATGTTGCTTATTAAGATTACTGTTTTTCTTTTTAACTGCTTAGAGATTTTTAGTAGATGCAACATGCATATAGGTACTTTAGGCTGTTCACACTTTTCTATGAAGGCTGTACATCCGGTCCACTCTCCCAGATCAGCGTGAGTAAATAAGCGTAATTTAAAAAATATTTTCTTAATTTTTTACATAAAGAAAATGCTCGCAATTTTGAGACCATGGAAAGATCGCAGTCAGCAGGAGCTAGAGGGCTTGTTAGCCACCGGCCATCCTCCCTAATTACTTAGGCCAGCAAATTGCTACTTCATTTGTGCCGAAATTGTCATCCAGTTACATTTGCAGGCATCAATTTTGACCTGGAATCAGATCCGCCGAGTGAGCCCTCACCAGAACTGACGGCTCAGTACCGACAGCTTGTGGATCTTGCTAGGAAACAGCTGCAGGCTCATGTGGACCACGCCGACCACAACATTAAGGAGCATTACAGTATTCCAGTGTATACAGTTGCAGGGAAAATGTGAGTGTTTATCTCATCTGGTTGCTTGATTTTTGTGTGTGCCTTTCCATCTTTCTAGAAGATACTGTTGCACTGTTCTGTAGGGAGAGGCAGAGGAATCATAAACACTAGTGATGGTGAGTGTGATTAGCAAGACCAGCTGGTGTTGAGTGTTCCACAATAAGTGCATGCAAGTACAAGAGTTTTATTTCCATGATAAATTTTCCATCTCAAATTCTTTGCTTCCAACATGTCTGCAGCTATTTTCTTGTTCCTAATCTTGAAAAAGTCAACAGCTTTACATACCAATGAAGTAAGGTGACATTTGTGAGGGACTCAGGGCCATAAAGCAACGGTAGCTGTAGATAAAAGAACATTAGAGAATTTTGAGACCAAATGTCTTAGAAGAATACCAAATCTTCACTGGACAGATTTCAGATCCAATACACAAAAAAGACAAGAGATCAAGCAGGGCAGTGTATCCAGTTTTAGAAGAAAGTGCTGCTGGAACTACATCAAGACTTTCCCATCAAACCCTGGTATGAACACCGGAAGGGAAAAGAAAATGAGGAAGACAAAGAGAGACATAGAACCATCATCAGGAAAGGCTCAACCATGGGCCTAACAAACATCCAGAACCTAAAGCAGGTGGCAACGAACCACCAGACATGGAGAGCTATGACCTCTGCTTTATGTGCCTCCTTAGGCTCAAGAAGAAAGACTAACTAATCTTTCCTGTCATTGCAACTTCTTCTTTTCATTTGTCTGAGTGACATAACTGTGTTGTGCCTGTTCACAGCATAGCTGGGATGTTTGCATCTTTCAGCCACACACTTGACTTCATTGAGCATTTGTTCACCGATTTTACTTCCCCGTCTTTTGCAACAGGATTCACATAACTTGTTGCAGTGAATTTATAATAATACCTGTATCATTCATGTCCCACTTGCAAACATCTTTATATCCGAGTAGTAGCTGGCCTGGAGGTCATCTACCCATCTGTAATTCACCAAATAGAATATCCCCAGAACCCACAATGAGAAAATTGGCCTTTTGATTGTAGTGATCCTGTCTTCTTCCCCGATGTTTTGTTCCTAGTTAATGCCAGCTTTATGTTTATTGTCCTTAACATTGCTCAGCTTGACATCCAGAAAGCCACAGAGGTGTAGGGGCTAGCATATTTACTGACTTGGTTGTTTGTTCTGTGTTCAAATTCCATTTGAGGCAGAGATTTATTTTCTGTTTAATTTCAAATGGTTACCCAGACATTTTATGTGAACTAAAGGCTACTTAAGATGACACTGACTTCATTAGTCATGGAGTTTTTGGGTTGCTCTAACAGTGTTGGCTAGCACCATATGTCCAGTAAGATTTAGAGCAGAAAGAAAGCTCTGCACTCTGAAATTATTATTTGCCATGTTCCCCTAGGTATTATGCTATAGGCATTGAGTTTGAAGCTCTGCACCTGACATCTTCACCTAAGCCTTTGTGGGTGAAAGCTTTCTGTGAGGAAATAGAAAAGCTGAAGCCGAAGAGGCTTCCGATGACAGATGTCCACATACTGGACCAGTTCAAAAAGTTCTTTGGTTTTAAGAAAGCTATCAAATACAAGGTGAGCTTAGTGATTGGTGTCTTGAGTTTCACACATAACCATCATTGCCATCTGTTTGACAGGTTTCACTTGGAAATAATGATAGGCATTGTGTGTGCTTGCGACTGGCACAGGGTTACAGCCATTATGGGGCATCATGGAACTGGAACCGTGACTTGTGACTGACAACTTGCAGATGAGAGGTTTACAACTAACATAAGCCTTGCAGATGAGAGGCTTACAACTAACATAAGCTTTGCAGATGAGAGGCTTACAACTAACATAAGCCTTGCAGATGAGAGGCTTACAACTAACATAAGCCTTGCAGATGAGAGGCTTACAACTAACATAAGCTTTGCAGATGAGAGGCTTACAACTAACATAAGCCTTGCAGATGAGAGGCTTACAACTAACATAAGCCTTGCAGATGAGAGACTTACAACTAATGTAAGCCTTGCAGATGAGAGGGTTACAACTAACATAAGCTTTGCAGATGAGAGGCTTACAACTAACATAAGCTTTGCAGATGAGAGGCTTACAACTAACATAAGCCTTGCAGATGAGAGACTTACAACTAATGTAAGCCTTGCAGATGAGAGGCTTACAACTAACATAAGCCTTGCAGATGAGAGGCTTACAACTAACATAAGCTTTGCAGATGAGAGGCTGTGTCCAGGAACATAACAGTAAGATAGTTATAGTCACCCACAAGATTTGTTTCGTCAAGGATAACTTCCACATCCCTGCAGAAAACATTGGCTAGTTAAACTTGTGATATTTTACAAACACAATGTGTGCCGTAGATGATGGCACAACAGCTGAAGAACATCTTTATTTGCCAGGGTCCCTTGTCCCAGGCTCTTATGTCAAAACCTTCTCTTCTCAGTCATATCAGTTGTCAAGATTCTAATAAACCAGAAATTATGTCATTTGATCAAGAAGAATCTTTCTATCTGACTTGGCTGATTAATTGAAATGTTATGTTTTCTTGGATGAAGATATATTAGGGCTGGTTGAAATCTTTTGTGTTCTGTTTGATGCCTTAGGTAGCCCTTTATGTCACTTCTGATAACAAACCTGCCGTTTCTAGTGTCATATTTCTGTGATTTCCTATAGGGCTTGGAAAAGCTGACTTTACTGACAATACACAGTAGACTCTTTACTTAAAAGACACAGTAGACAGTTTACTGACAAAACACAGTAGACAGTTTACTGACAAAACACAGTAGACAGTTTACTGACAAAACACAGTGGACAGTTTACTGACAAAACACAGTAGATAGTTTACTGACAAGACACAGTAGACGGTTTACTGACAAGAAACAGTAGACAGTTTACTGACAAGACACAGTAGATAGTTTACTGACAAGACACAGTAGATAGTTTACTAACAAGACACAGTAGATAGTTTACTAACAAGACACATTAGACAGTTTACTGACAAGACACAGTAGACAGTTTACTGACAAGACACAGTAGATAGTTTACTGACAAGACACAGTAGATAGTTTACTGACAAGACACAGTAGATAGTTTACTGACAAGACACAGTAGATAGTTTACTAACAAGACACAGTAGATAGTTTACTAACAAGACACAGTAGACAGTTTACTTACAAGACACAGTAGATAGTTTACTAACAAGACACAGTAGATAGTTTACTGACAAGACACAGTAGATAGTTTACTAACAAGACACAGTAGATAGTTTACTTACAAGACACAGTAGATAGTTTACTGACAAGACACAGTAGATAGTTTACTAACAAGACACAGTAGACAGTTTTCTGATAAGAAACAGTAGACAGTTTACTGACAAGACACATAGGATAGTTTACTAACAAGACACAGTAGACAGTTTTCTGATAAGACACAGTAGATAGTTTACTGACAAGACACAGTAGATAGTTTACTGACAAGAC